GGCGCAGAGACGAAAAAGGATTTTGAGGCAATTTCAGAAAATTGCGCAGCGCTTCGCCATAGCAAAATGCCAAAAAAAAATTGGAGCTGCGCCCTGCAGCGGTGGTGACAGCCGCATTTTCCGGCGCTGGCGCAGAGACGAAAAAGGATTTTGAGGCGATTTCAGAAAATTGTGCAGCGCTTCGCCTCTGCAAAATGCGTAAAAAAAACTGAAAATTGGCCCTCGAGCGGCCGTGCAGGGCAGCCGCACCTTGCGCCGGCGCTGTGACGAAAAATAATTTTCAGGCAATTTCAGAAAATTGGGCAGCGCTCCACGGCTACAAACTGACAACAAAAGTCAGAAAATGCGCTCTCTAGCGTTTGAGGAGGGCAGCCGCACCTTCCGCCGGCGCTGAGACGAAAAAGGATTTTGAGGCACTTTCAGAAAATTGCGCAGCGTTTTGCCGATGCAAAATGCCCAAAAAAAATTCAGAATTGGCCCTCTAGCGGCAGTGCAGGGCAGCCGCACCTTGCGCCGGCGCTGAGACGAAAAAGAATTTTCAGGCAATTTCAGAAAATTGTTCAGCACTCCACAACCATAAACTGACAACAAAAATCAGAAAATGCGCTCTCTAGCGTTTGAGGAGGGCAGCCGCACCTTCCGCCGGCGCAGAGACGAAAAAGGATTTTATTGAGGCAATTTCAGAAAATTGCGCAGCGCTTCGCCATTGCAAAATGCCCAGAAACATTTGAAAATGCGCCCTGTAGCGGTGGTGGATGGCAGCCGTTTTTGTTCCCTTTGTCTCTGCGATCGCAAGACAAAGAATCCCGCGTAGTTGTGCTTCCAGTAGTATCTATGCTCTTCTTTTTTACATCGTCCTTGGCTTTCAACCCCAAGCCCTTTACATTCCAGGTCCCAAACACAAGGTCAAGGAGGCGTTTCTTTTGAACAGCAGCCATTTGCCTAGATGGCCGCCGCGGCGTTCTGTGAACACCAGTAGTGCTAGCTGTTTCGCTTGCTTTTGGTTTTGGAGATGAAGAAGAAGATTTTGGACGGAATTACTATTCGACTTTCGAAATGATTTCTCTGCAGAGCAAAATGCTCCGTGCTAGCTCTTTGGCTAGCTCCTTCCGGTTGCAGTCTGACTGTTTAAAACGTAGCCCCTTTCGAACTATTGCCTGGTGGCTCTTTTCGCAGTTGAAAAACTTTTTCCCCACACTGACTTTGCAGCGTGGGCACAAAACTTGATTCCGGGCGACGGCTAGAAACGGGCCGTGCTTCAAGGATTAGTCGTTTTCGCAGATGGGGCAGGGTTTCGCGTCTTTTCGTAGTACGAGATGAAGACCGCGCTGCGGTGCAATTAGAACTGAAAGAAACCGTAGAACAATCAAAATTCTGATGAGATGAAGATTTGATGCTGGATTTTTGCAGTGAAGTCGCCCAGAGTGTCGGCGCGAAAAGCTACGCCCCCGACCACCTCCACGCCGTGTTTCAGAGTTGTTATTCTTAATTCTTCTGTCGTTCACGTCTTCTGCTCCTCTCTTGTTGAGTCTCCGCGTGCTGCCGGCGGCGGCGGAGGACTGGTTCTTTTCTCCGATTTTGTCCTTCTGCACCCAAGGCTGTTTGTCTTTTTTCTTGTCGCCCGTAGAGGAGGAGACTCCTGTAGTGCTGGTTCGCTTGGTAGAGTTGCTGTTTTTGTTTTTGTTCACCTCTTCTTACTTTCCCGTGCTGCGACGCGTGCTGCTGATCCTGTTGCACTAGAGCTTGCATCTGCGAGGCAGCGACCTGCTCCGCAGATACATTTTTCTCGTCGGTGGGAACAATGTCACTGATGATGTCCGAGGAGAGCGACGTATCGTTTTCATTCTTTACGGACGGCGAAACAGGGAGGTCTGCGGGTGTGTGCATATAGAAGATGAATCTCAATTAATGCTATTCTGTTCATCGTCACGACATTTTTTTTGCTTACTCCGGGTTTTGATCGCTAGCCGCGAGTGAACTGCAGGTGAAAAGCAAGGCACACTCCGAACATCGTCCCGTCTCCGTCGTTCGCGAAATGTTGTCGTATCTTCCGCAATTTTTCCCTGATTCTGCGGAAGGGGTTGTCATTTTTCCCCCCCCCCCTCGTGATGTTCTTAGCAGAAGAATTCCTCGTACTCGTACGGGATGTTGAAGACGAACAGAGGAGCTGATCATGAGATGAGGGCGTGGTAGGAAAGGATCGAAACTGATTGCTCCTGCTGCCCTGAAGATGCACTTCTGCCGAAGATGAGGAGGAGATGGGTGAGGGTGGTGGTGGCGCTGTTGGGACATCTTCGTCGAGGTTGGTATGTGGTTGCAACGTGTGCAAAAACATCAAGAGGTCTTGTTCGTCGAGTTGGTCGCGAGTATCTAACATAACCGCATTATGCCAATCGGCATTGCAGACAAGGGATTCGGGATACAGTACCTCCTCGTCGTAGTAGTTTTGTGGACTAGTAATCGCGATCGTCCAAGGGTGCGGCTCGAGCAAGAACGTCAGCGGCTGCCTGCCGAAGGGGTCTCGTGCGGTCAGGACCGAAATTGTAATCGCCAATTGCGCACCCTCCGCAAAATTCCGGTGCCGCCGAGGCAACACGCGCTGATTCCGAAACAGCAGGGTTGACCCATCATCGCCGAGCGCTTGTAGGTGCCACTGTTTTTTAATGTTGACCGGTCGTTCTCCCGGCAAACCCTGCTCTCCAACAACGCAGGAAAGAGCTCGGCGGACATAGATGGTCTCCCCGGTCTCCTTGATGAAGACGGGAACGCCGTCCCAGTCATCGCCCGCCGGATTTGCCAGCAGCTCACTCAGGCCGTTGTCCCAACGCGGGCCGTTTGCTTGTTGCGCGCCACAATAGCACACGTCCTTGATTGATTGGCCCGTCGGATCCTCCTGCACCGTGAAGCCATACAGTTTCTTCCAGGATTCCTGGAAACAGAGCACCTGGTCTCCCTCCACAGCCGACAAAACGCAACCATACGGGTGAGTCTGCTTGGTATTCTCCATGATCACACTTAACAGCTCTTCCGTCGACGCCACCCTCTTGGGGTAGGGGAAGGCGGGATTGCGAAGCACGACGAAGGCAAACGAAGCTTCGCGTAGCATGCGATCTGTAGCAGTGCGAACTACGAAATTTGGCGTGGCATGCTCTGCCAGAAGTTGTACGGAAGTGGGCCGTTTCGGGATTTTGATTTTGTCCCGCCGACACCTGCGGAAATCCGACATTATCGGGCTGACGTCCGACTGCGAAAGAAGATCCGACATCATCTTATGGAAGTTCTTTGTGGTGTTGTTCTTGCTTTCTACCCTGAAGATTCACAATCCGGGAGGACGTCCCGGCCCTCGTCGTGGAGCTGCAGGCTCTTATTTCTCACTCGCAAACCACCAGTTCTTCAGGATCGGGGCTCATTTATTTTTCGACATCAAAATCACTTCAGGATCTTCCAGGTTTAGGGTTTAGGAAAATGCTCCCCCCCCCCCGCGTTGGAGGGCGGCATCGGCGCCTTGTCGCGCCGGCGGCGCTGAAGACGAAAAAGGATTTCGTCCGTGAACAGAAAAAAATATCCATAACACGACGACGACGGACGTGTCATTACACGGCAAATTCGGACTGATTGTGTCAATATAGTATTTTCTTCGTTCGGTTTAATCGCAACATACGAGTTGTAAAATTCAACGGAATTATTCAATCTGAGCGCGCTGCAATAAACTTTGCAGTGGTCGTAAGAATTCTTTTCAGTAAACGTAGGAGTTCCTTGCGCAGCCGGTGCTGAAATTTTTCACCGCGCTTTGGTCACGAAATCAGAAATGAGAGTTCAAGGGTAGCACTTACCTGCAAGAAGGGTAGTACTAAATAGTCAAACTTAGCAGCTCACATCCTCACGTCCTTCACCGTCGTTCTGGGAGGACTTCAATCAGTCTTGTTTTTCTTTTTGCTAGATTCTTGTTTTTGATACAAAGTTCAGTTCTTCTGTAGCTTGTCTTCAGGAATAAAATCTGATCCGCCAGGGAAGTGAAGCTAGTAAGAACACTTCTGCGGTCGTATATATTTGGATGCAAAATAAACTTGTTTAGTCAAAGCAGTTCAAAATAAACCAGGGTGTCGTGTACCTCTTGCTGGTGGGTGCCTTCTACTTTTTTCGCAATCAATCGAGTTCTTGTTTGATTTACTTATATACAAGAGCAGCACAACCACAACCGGTAGAGGTAGACGTAGTACTTCTACAGAATAGCTTTTACTATTACCAAAACCAAAACTACCTAGAGGCTCCTCGTATAGACAGTTCTTTTCGTATGATAGCAAGGTGCAACCAGTTGTGACTGTGTCGATTTTCTACCGGAAAATGAACGAACTATCGTTCGTGAATCTCGCTCAGATCAAGCAAGTGGTTTCGTTCCTCCTCCTCTAAAAGATTTCGTATCCTGGGCCCAGTTATGAGCTGCAACTATGTCTGGGTCTGGAAGATTGCGAGATTTGTCATGCCTGTTTTGCACGACCCATGATCCCTGTAGTGCATGACCTAGCGTCACAGATTCGTAGAGGGCTTCCTGATGCCTATTCCGCATGACAGATGCCCTATCCGCGGAGCACAAAGTGGACTCGTATTGCTGGCCATACAATACAAATTTTTCTAGAATCCAAAAACAGCATCACAAGTTGCATCCTTTCAGACCCAGACATATTTGCAACGCATACCAGTTTTCATCTGCCTGCCCCCGTCCCCGCCGCCCCCCAGTCTGGACGTGGACAGCAGGTTGCTTCCACTGTTTATGCAAGAAAAAAACTGTGTAAGTGTAACTTTGTAATGCAGAACATGCAACAGAGTTACACCTGTCATGCCCGACAGCCATGAAGTCGTTTTTTCATGTGTGTTTTCCCTTACAAGCCAGGCATGACAGGTTGTCGCTGTTATGTAGAGCCGATTTGTGATGCTGTCAGCCAAGGAAAGCTACACTAACACAGTTTTTTTCTTGGATACTGTTGTTCAGACTGTTATTGTGGCCCGCGTTGAAGGAAAACACCTCTTCGTACGATTCGTAGTCGTTCTCGTTCTGTCGTACCGTGCGATTCCCGGCTTCCGAGGTTTTGTGGTATTACAGTGTAAAATACCCTCACCCCGAAAGTTGCAATAATTTGCAACTCGACGTTTCCAAATATAAAACTTTTATTTGTCTTGCATGAAAGAACTATGAATCTTTCTGATGCAGAGTCTAGTCGTATACGGCATCGCCTGCATGACAAGCGTCGCTTTTGCTGGGATCTTTTGCAATACAGATTTTTGCTGTTCACGATTGAAAACACTGTGATGCTGATACATGCAAGACGGTGACGGTTTCTATTGGAATGGTTTGCAATACAAATGCTCCCAAGATCTTCATCTGGGGTGAGGACATTTTTCATTGTCATATGTGGTCCGCGTAGTTTTTTTGGTGCTTCTCCAAACTGTCCCGCCGGTGGCGGCTGGTTGATCTTATTTGCGAACCGTCGCTCTTGCTCCGACTCGACGAGCTTGCGTTGCCACTGCCCGACGAACTACTGCCCGAAGCTGCTCCACGACCAGGGTGAACAACGTGAACGTTCTTGTTGCCAACATTATTTCTCGGATTATTCATTCCCGTAGTTGTTCCGGAGTTGTTCTTTCCACAACTCGGGTTGCTGTTTTCCTTGTTGGTTAGAGAATTATATGCTGGCTGCTCGTGTCTGTCCTGTTCTTGGTGTAGTCGTTCATCTTGCTGGCCTTCGATCTGCTTCAGCAAGCTTCCCAAATCGTGTCTGGCCGGGGGGTGATAGGCAGCAGAACTGTTGTAGTTCTGCTTCTGTGACGAAGATGTTGTCGGAATATTGTTAAACGAGCTCGGCGCGGATGAATTTGTGCTGTGAATCTGCAGCGAAGCACTGGGGTTGAAGGAAGATGAAGCAGTCGCATTATTTGATGTTCCTCCACTTCCACTGTAGTTCATGTTTATCCCCAGTGCTGCGTTCTGCTTCTGGAGCAGATGATTATCGCTGTTGGCACGCTCCCGCACACCGTTGTTCATCGTGTTAATATTTCTGCCAGCACTACTTCGAGGACTTGGTAGTCTTGACGATTGCGACGGACCAGGAGCTTGCTGATGCTGTCCTCCGGAAGTGGAAGACGTGGCTCCGCCACCGGAGCCTAACAAGCTGCCCTGACTGGCGGACGACCACATGGTCTGCATGTCCTTCTGAAATGCGTCCTTCGCGTTGTCGAGGGCCTGCTGCTGAAAGTTCATGTTCAGTTCAAATTTCTGCTTCTCCACGTCCACAAAGGCCTCGCGCTGCTTGCAGAGCCGCTCCCGGTATTGTGAGTCAAAATCCCCCCTCCCCATATTGAAAGCGCATCGCCCGTCCGAAGATTTGTGATGCAGATTTGTGGCCACAAATCCTGTCTGTCTTGCAAGAAAGCAAAGCCAGAGAGTCCGCCTCTTTATGCAGGCGGTTTGTGATGCTGTTAGGCTTACAGCATAGACGTTTGTCATGCTAGTCGCCTAAGTCAAGGCCTCCCGCTTCAGGCTTGGCATATGCTTACAGTCCTCTCCAGCAAGACAGACCTGATTTGTGTACTCAAATTCAGCATCACAGATTTCGTTTCGATATGGGGAGGGGGGATTTTTCCTCGCAATACCCGGTCCTTCAACTTTTCAAACTTCAGCATGTACTCCTCTGCCAGCTTCTCCTTTTCCAGTTGCAGTGCCTGCTCTTTCTCAATCAGTGTGGCCTTCTCGAACCGCAACACTTCTTGCTCCAGTTCCAGCTCCGAGGCCAGTTCCCGATACTTCTTGAAGTCCGTGATTTCCAGTTCTTGCCCCTCAACACCGAATACCTCTTCAAACTGCTGCAGCCTTTGCTTCAGGCTGTGCTGCACCTTTTCCCGTTCTTGGTTGAACACGAGGAGCTCATTCTCCAGCTGTTGCCGGTTGGTCCGCAGATCTTCGCGTAAAACCTGCAGGTCCTGATTTTCGCATTCAAACTTTTCCTTGTCGAACAGCAGTTGTTGCTTCTCGTTGTCCACGTCAACTAAAAGGTTTCTTCTTTCCTGCTCCAGCTGCTCGCGTTCCGCGTTGAGCTCTTCCTCGACCCGCTTTTTCGACGTTTCAAATTCCTCGTAGTCTTTCATGGCTTGTTCATACTTCTCCGTGAATTTCCGCTGTTCTTGATTCAAATTTGCCTCCTGGTCTTCCAAGAGCCGCTTGACGCGCGTTTCCTCCTGCTCCAGGTCCTGCTGGAGTTTCTGCTCTTTTTGTTCGTACTCGCGCTGCAACTTTTCTTCCTCGGTGAGAAACTCCTGCTTCAGGAACTCTTCCTGCTGCTCGAACTCTTGCCTCAACCGCTCGGACTCCTGGTCAAGCGCGGCTTGGTCTGTGATGTGGTTTTTTTTTTTGTGCGACAGTTCTGAATCGCAATCACGACCAAATTCCCGGGGAGAAAACTCTCAACGCAGTAGAACTTGCAACCGGGGAGAACTCCCCGGTTGCAAATTCGAAAAGGCGTCCCTTGTTAACAGCATACCACCGTGAATAACGAAGCAGCGGAAGCTTTTCGTAGTTTCGCGCAAAAGCGAAATGCTACACTTTTGACTCGCAATCACGGTGGATATCTGAATAGAAAACTCTCAATGCAGAACTTGCAAACGGGGAGATCTCCCCGCTTGCAAGTTCGAGCACGGCGCCCCTGTGACCAGAATACCACCGTGAATAGCGAAGCAGCGGAAGCTTTTCGTAGTTTCGCGCAAAACCGAAAAGCTACACTTTTGACTCGCAATCACAATGGATATCTGAAGAGAAAACTCTCAATGCAGAACTTGCAAACGGGGAGATCTCCCCGTTTGCAAGTTCG